CCTCTTAAATGACATAAGAGATGTTCATCCCTATAACAGGAAACACTCTATAACTATTCCAAAATAAAAACAAACAAATCAATGAGGATTGAACATAATTTTAGCAATGTTTAGCAATTTACCTTCCATTTATAAGCTTGAAAACCAGAGAATTGACACCATAAGTATTACCATAATCATCCTCCTTTATAAACTCTTCTTTTATGGGACCAACATCAATAACCGAACCATAGAAATCTAGCATGACTCGAAATAAGACAAACTTTGTTAAAATTGATTAATTTAAACTTACTTAAATCATTACAACATGTACTAAAAGTAGAACAAACTTACCATAAGAATTATTGAGTGGGATGACTCCATTGAAAACATGATTAAAATCTTCAAATCGGTAGTAATCTCTGGTGGACAGAGTACCAAGGATCATCATGTCCGTCTTCTCAAAAAATTTTATCTGGTACTGATGATTGGTATTCCGTTCTGGCAACACTGGCTTGATGACCTTGAAATCTCGAATGTTATACCATTCCCCATCATAAATATGTTTAGGTACAGGGTGTTTGAAATTTTGATAGCATATAGAAGCCTCAATCCGATCACCCTACAATCAAATTTCAGTGGTTCATCAATTGCTACATGTAAATCAATCAATTTAACGTAATAAGCAGTTCAGGTGATCAATATGTTATAGAGTTCTTTAGACTTGCGTTTAGCTCAATTACATTTATATGAAGACTTGCTATATGTAAATCATTTTAGAAATCGATTCAATGACTATATGTAAGTCACAAACAATTTCTATATGTAAGTTTTATAGAAAATTACCCTTTGATCAGCAAGGATTAGGACCCTTTTCATCATAAACCCTCTCTTGTAAGAAACACTCAATATCTTCACGTCTATGTTCCAATCAGACCTCGATGGATTCAAATTGGCTATGCAATCTCTCGGCATCTCGAAACGCCTTGTAGAATTTCGTGATTCCGTTTGAAGAAAAGTGTTGAAGTAGAGTATCGGTGTTTAAGTGTTTAATCGGTTTCAATTGTGCCAAATAGATTCAGAGTTGGAAGAAGATGAAAAGTCTATTGGTGAAACAATATTTATAATCAAAAATCGAAATGGTGCGTCGTTTAAGTTATGCATTTTTTTTTAATAAAAAAATTATTTTTTTGTGTGGATTTATTTAATGTAATCATATAACATCTAATAAATTAGATTTAATTAATTTTATTATTTTTGATAAAACATTTGGACATTAAAGAATTTTTAACACTAACCAAAATTTACATATGTATACCCTACATTTAAACCATCTGTTAATTGAAAACAAATTTTAATTTAGCTAATAGATAAGATCTAGGACTAAGTATCAATTTTTAAAAGCAAAAACCAATAGTTTATTAGATTTAAAATTTTAAACAACAACAAAGTAAATGCAATAGCATTCTTATTGGAGATTCAAAACAAAAGTAATATGTAAAGAGGATACATGCTAATGCTTATTCGTGAATGGAAAGGTAAGACGTGAATCTTTAAAAAGAGAACCAATTGTTTTTTTGAGATTAGATGGCTGTATATCAATGAGTGTGTTAATTTGTTCATATTCAATACATAAGAGGATTTGGTGTGTCTTGCCAACCAAGACATCTATTGGGTCTAGTATGTCTTGGATTTGTTTATCTATAATGAAAAATAGCTGAATCGACTAATCATTAGGAACACGGCTCCGCGACTATAACTATTAGAGAAGCTATTTAGAATATCATTAACTTGATTCGTTTGTAAATTGAAAAAATTGACTATATAAAGCGTACTTATTCAGATCTGCAACCAAAAAAGTGCATCCATATAACTTTCGAGACGAATTAATATTAACAACATTGTATAATTTTTAATTAGTAATTTTTTTTTTAATTAGTAATTTCTAGATATTTCATCTGCTTTTAATTAGTAATCTTGTTTATAATTAGTAATTTCTAGATGTCTCATTTACTTTTTGTAATTTAAACTGCAATAAAGTTGCGAATCTATTTTTGTTTATGGATATGATTTAGTTACGTCTTATTCTGAAATTTACAATATGCATACATGAACCAACTGTATTATGAGTTTCAATATAACATGTATACTATATTATGATTTTGATCAGTAAATTCACTAAGTTTAATCGTTTTAAAGTTTACCATATTAACTATATAAGGAAAATTATTGAAGAGTGTAACCAAAAAACGGTTGCATGATAATACTTATTTTTCATGAAAAATAAATACGTAAATCTGATGATGCAACAAATTGGTACGTAATTAAATGTTATCAAAGATTTCTTTAAAGACTACGTTAAGGGTCTTGTTCTGACATTCACCGTCTTCATTAGTTATCAAAATCTTCAATCCATTTCTCGTCGTCACTCTAGATAATGCAACATATAGCTGTCCATGTGTAAAGACTGGTTTTGGTAAAAACAATCCAACGTATTCCAGCGTCTGACCTTGGCTTTTGTTAATAGTAATCGCATATGCAAGAGTCACAGGAAACTGACGACGCCTCATACGGAAAGGAAACTTTGCATCTGGCGGAGACACAAACATTCTAGGGATAAGTACTTTTTCGTTTACACTGTTACCTGTTACTATCCTTGCCTCTATAACATGATCAGCCATTTGAGTAACAATCAACCTTGTACCATTGCACAAACCACCTTTAGGATCTATATTCCTTAGCAACATGATAGGGGCTTCTTTCTTCAATGTTAATTCATGCTTAGGCAATCCTGAGACGTTGATACTATTTAAAAATTCCTGCGAGTAGACCATATCGTCGAAAACACTTGTATCCGACGTTTCAATGGAATCTGAACTAAAATAACGTCTTTCTTCACCTATGATATAGTTAAATATGTAAAAGAGACATGCAATTTAGTAAACTTATTTTATTACCAAAAAGCATAATATTAGATACACGTAAACAATTATAATGCATACCTGGTAGTTGAGAAAGCATATATTGATTGATTTTATCAACATCTTCGTTCCTTGGACTAAGAATTGCTCTTCGCCTAAAGAATTTTGGATCCTTCTCTTTAGCAAAAGAATTACCATAGATTTCCTTAACAATTGCTTGAATAGGTTCCTCAGCTGCTGTTATCAATAAATCTTCAGGTATTTCTATTTCGACCTCACCATCGTTTGGCTCATTGATTTTACCATCACCAATATCGAGCAACCACCTTGAGAACTCGGCGAGAGCAACAGATTGCTCGTTATTAACGCCTTCTCGTAAGCGCATATTTTGTGTAAGCTTTAAAACTTTACAGCTTTGCCAAAGCAATGATGAGTTTATAGACGCCAACACAGTTGCGACCCTTCCACCCTCAGGAATTACTGGGAGAACCTGTCTAAAATCACCTCCCAAAACAACGACCTTACCTCCAAAAATCCTATTGCACTTCATAATATCTTGCAAAGTCCTATCCAAAGTTTCAAAACAAAGTCTGTTCATCATCGGTGCCTCGTCCCATATAATGAGTTTCGCTTCTCTTATCAATTCTGCAAGATCGGACTCTGCATCTATCGAGCACATTGAATATTCGTTTATATTGATAGGTATACCAAACCTAGAATGAGCTGTCCTACCACCTTCCAATAGCAAAGCAGCGATTCCACTTGATGCAACATTTAGAACGATATTACCTTTAGATCGAATGTCAGCTCCAATGATACTCCACAAGAAAGTTTTTCCAGTACCACCGAATCCATGCACAAAAAACATTCCACCCTTGTTTTTATTTACCGAGTCGATTATTTCTTGGTAAACACGTCTTTGCTCTTCAGTTAACATACCAAACAGTCTGTTGTAATCTTTCTTTTGTTCATGACGCTTATAATTTTTCTCATCCATAATAAGCCGATTTTCATTTGAATTTATCACACTATCGTCTGGTCTTGGCATATTAGTAAAAACGGAAAGAGAAGTGCCATTCGAACGCATAAGCAATTCGATTTCCGACAAACATATGTTCCGTATTTGATCTTGTGTTAACATAAGACCTGCATATCAATTTGTATAATAGAATTAAGAATATTTTTACCAAATATGACAAAAAACTCGTAAAAATTCATACATGAAAAAATAGAACAAACATTTTTAATTAATTTGATAATTTTGCATAATACTAATAATAATAAAGATTCCGATGTACCTTGATCATTCATGCGATTCCTATGGAGAAATAAAATATCTTCGCATAGTATATCTCTTGTCGCGAGCCAAAGATTTAACGGAACAGATACACTCTTCGAAATCAATAGTATCACAAATAGCTTCCTTAAGTACTTGCCAAGACACCAGAAACTTGCTTCCTTTATAGCTGAAATATATTGTTTGTCATCATCCAATAATCCTAATGCATAGCAAGCATCTTTAAATTCTCCGTAAAGAACTCCGTTAACCGTTTTCAAGAATTCGAAACTGGTTGCACCTGGTATTTTATTAAGCAAAACTCTTAAGTAGTAAGCATCCCCTGTAGAAGGTGGTACGTACGTAATCCTTCCTATTGAAAAACTTTTTCTTTTCCTTGATCTACGCTTCCAAATTTTTTCTTTTTTATACCATGCATAAGCGGTCGGAAATTCAGCATACGTTAACTTTCTAGCTTCAGGGTCAATTCTATTGCATTCCATCCATGCTAAGAATTTGCTTCCTCCATTTGTTGAACGTGACATAACATTTTCTATAGGATCATCCTCGTTATAAATAACCAATTGCTGGCCAGGAAGATGGAAGGGCAATTTTTCAACAGGTGTTGTACGATAACATATCGGGGACGCTAATATTCTCCACGTAGCTTCGCATGCTGATACATATCTACAGAAACGAATGATTAAAGTATGTTAATGTTACCTTGAACAACATGTATCACAGTTATAAATTTACTATAAATACCTGCAGTTAAAATATTGTTTGATTTCATTTTCTTCATCCTCTTCTCCTACTGATGCTCTAATATAATCTGGACCTTTGCTGATATATTTGAACAGATATTTTATTGACCGTGACTGGTTACACCACTCTACATTTATGTGAGCACGATAACGAATCGACAATTCACGATTATACGGAATAACGTATCTGTTGTCACAGTCGAAACCTTTCTTATGCACAATTCTTCCATCATCTCTCCGCCTGTATACTGGATAACCAGCATCATCTATCACAGTATTTTCTACGTATGGTTTTGGAAAGAACTTTGTGCACTTACCATCCTTCATGCAAGGACTATCGTTGTGTTGACGTCCACAAGGTCCATGAATCATAACATCAGAAACAACTTCATATAAATACTTGTCCACTTCTTTGTCCGGTATTTCGGCACTTATGAATTTATCTATGTCGTCCGTTGTGCGCATTTTAAAATCCGGATGCAAAAATAAAACCATGTGCGCATGTGGTAGTCCCCTTTTTTGGAATTCTATTGTATACATAGCTGCGTAAAAATCAAAACGGCAACGTAACTATATTTATATTTGTATAATATTATTAAAAAATGTATATGAAAATAAGATACGTACCAGAATTCATCGTACCGAAAGTTTTCTCTTTGGTGACTTGATGCATGAGCTTATCTAATTTCATCTTAAAAACCCGGCAACAAATATCTGGTCTATCCTCTTGTTTAAGAC